GGGATAGTGAGCAAAGACATACAGACTTAAAATACAGCATCATTCATATTAACTACTTAAATGTGGTTGTTTTGTGTCCTTTTCTGAAGCTTTAAAGCTCCAGTCAGCATTCACAGTAATAGCATTAAAAATAATCTACAGTATGTTCTTCATATTTTCTTATTTTGTGTTCCACAGAAGAAAAAATCATATGAGTTTGGAACGACTTGAGGATGAGTAAAAGATGACAGAATTAAAACTTTTGGATGAACTATTCCTTAAATAGGAGTTTGAAAAGATGTCTTAAAACTTTTAGACATAGAGACTTGATAACAAAAGCCATTTGTCTTGAAATAGTGTAGCGCCATTGTGTAAGACTTCTCAGTGTGCTTGATTATATAAAACAAAACTTACGCTTTGTGATTTTTTGACTTGAAAGGCTGACAGCAGTGACAACAGAAACTTAGAAGAATGGCGTTGTCAGTTGGCTAATACATTTCTTGAAACTGCTGAAGCAATGCATCATGATATGTGCCAGATGTGGCATTTCATTCAGAGCTAATCATGGGTAAACCATCAAGAATGCAGTATCTGAGTCAACAATAAGAGTGGACCGGACTGTGCATTGTCTGCACAGAAAAAAATAAATAAAGCTGTTATTCATCCAAAACTACTTTAGGTCCTAAAGCTAAACGATTATCAAAAGAATCCAAGACTATTTCGAGAGAGATGAATCAGCTTTTTATTTTTTTACAACAAAGAAAACGTTTGGATAATAAAAAAATGCTTCTTTTGTCTGGCTTTTTGCTATTTTTTTTATAGTAATAGAGAAAAGAACGGAGCTGTAAATAATGGGGCAAGAGAAAGAGTGGAGAAACCAGATCTAGAAAATGTTGCAAGCCGAATTCGAACCTCAATATGCTCTAAACCACTAACGTTGATCTGAAAAACACAGTAACTTACCTGTGATTATCAGTCTTCCTGTTGTGCTAGCTGTGCCAAACTGGTTTTTAGCGATACATGTGTAACTACCTCCATCTCGCTTAGTTACGTTGGCAATCTTAAGAGTCCCATTTGGGAAGAGAGAAATCCTAAAGGTAATGGATAATTTATTAGCATCACAAAGACTCACATGGCTCCAATGTGATAAAATATAAATTCCAAATCGAAATACCGTTCGCTTCTTTGCAGTATCTCGGTCCCTCTTTTCCACAGGCTAATGGCTCTGGGCGAAGCATGTGGCCTGCAATCTAGGCTAACGTCACTACCCGAGCGAGCCTTAAGCACTCGGCTCAAAGGATTCTGGGAGAAGCTGGGAGCAGAGGCTGTAGGAGACAGAGAGATTTGGTCCTCAGACTCACACTTAAAGCCACAATGGAATCTGTGATGAACAGCAATTGACGTTCAAACAGCCTCTGGCAAAAAAAGGAAGAAAGCCTTTTATAAAAGTCTAAAGGACTTAACAAATAGAGTTGTCCGCTTCCACTGGCTTCTTCCAGGCCATTTGTCTTAAACTAAAACTTACATTTTACTGTGCCACTTCAATAGACACCATTTATTTGAAATTGGCCTCGTACGCACAATACTGACCAATGTGTCGTGATTAAAATGAATGTATTTCAGCATGCACAGACATAATTTCACAATCAATACTGGAGAAATATGAGTGTTACAATGGAGCACTCAATCAGACGGATGTTTTCAGTGCTGCCTTGTAATTTGAGCCTGGGCTGTGACTACACAATAAAGTTGTAGCATTTAAATGAAGGATGGAAAGCAGGCAGTGAAAACACAGAGGTCGTACCAAGCACCATCAGTTCGGCGCTAGAATAAATGATGCCGTGCTTGTTCTCTGCCACACACTGATACATCCCGCCATCTGAGAGGTTTAGCGAGGAGATGGAGAGAGCGCCGTTCTCTATTTGCACTCGGCCCTGTAGACATAAAAAAAACAACAACAAAGTAAAATGGTTGCTATGCGGTTGCTAGGGCCTTGCTGGGCTGCTTGATTACATGGTTGCTTACTGGCCCAAGTCAAAAGAGACCAGCGCAACGTTTCTATGATATTCTGGTTGCTAGATATGGATTGGATCCTTCATTCAATTAACTAAAACGAAAACTATAAAAAAGATGGTTACTTGAAATAAAATAAATGTTAATTAAAAATTTTTTTTTATAAAAAGTTACACTTAAGCCCTATTTGGATAGTACTTGTTTTCCAGGGGGTCGTTAGAGAAATTTGTGTTTCACAGACGTACTTTGCGATTTTAATCCCGTCCGAATCTGCCACGTCTGTGTTTTTCTCACACAACCTCTGTAATAATTCTAGAGCAAATTACCTACTGTTTTTTTTTTTGGCAAACTCAGTGATCCTCTGAGAAATCTAATCGCGTCCGAATGCGAATGTCTGTGATTGCTGGCAATATTTTTTTCTCCACAGAGATCGTACCAAGCACCATCAGTTCGGCGCTAGAATAAATGATGCCGTGCTTGTTCTCTGCCACACACTGATACATCCCGCCATCTGAGAGGTTTAGCGAGGAGATGGAGAGAGCGCCGTTCTCTATTTGCACTCGGCCCTGTAGACATAAAAAAAACAACAACAAAGTAAAATGGTTGCTATGCGGTTGCTAGGGCCTTGCTGGGCTGCTTGATTACATGGTTGCTTACTGGCCCAAGTCAAAAGAGACCAGCGCAACGTTTCTATGATATTCTGGTTGCTAGATATGGATTGGATCCTTCATTCAATTAACTAAAACGAAAACTATAAAAAAGATGGTTACTTGAAATAAAATAAATGTTAATTAAAAAAATTTTTTTATAAAAAGTTACACTTAAGCCCTATTTGGATAGGACTTGTTTTCCAGGCGGTCGTTAGAGAAATTTGTGTTTCACAGACGTACTTTGCGATTTTAATCCCGTCCGAATCTGCCACGTCTGTGTTTTTCTCACACAACCTCTGTAATAATTCTAGAGCAAATTACCTACTGTTTTTTTTTTTGGCAAACTCAGTGATCCTCTGAGAAATCTAATCGCGTCCGAATGCGAATGTCTGTGATTGCTGGCAATATTTTTTTCTCAACGCGTTTCCTTGTGTGTGGGCCAATGTGAACTACCATAGACGCTCTAACTAACGCACATTTTTTATATGTTTTTAACTGCACTCAATTACATAATGTTTTAATTACATATGTACCTTTACGAAAATTAAACTTGGTTTTACTACAAATACATTTAAAAAAATAAAATAGTTAAACTAAAGTAACCACAAATTAACCATGGGTTTTGCTATACTAGCCATAGCTTAACCATGGTATTTGTTGTAAAACTGTGGTTATACTAATGGTAATCAATCCAAATGATACGCAATGCACGCATGTATACATGACACGTAATCTCTGCAATGCCCAGATGTACAAAACAGACACTCCGACCTCTGTAATAAACACAGAGATGTTAGTCCCGTCTGAATTGGTACATGAAAATCACAGACGTCGGGTGATGAGAATCTAAACTCAAACGTAGTTTAGAAAAATAGTCCCGTCCGAATAGGGCTTCATTTTATTTCATTTTAGCTAGTTGCCTCAGAAATATGTTTGACTTTAATTTAAGCTGATGTACTAAAATGACTGTAACTAAAAACAAATGCATAAAAACTAAAAAAACAAAAATAGACAAAACACAACAAAATTACTAAAACTTTAACAAAAATTAAAATGAAAAAAAAAAAAAATCAATAAAAACTGTAATAGTATCTCAATGATACTAAAATAAATAACATTGCTTCAATGTAAGACTATGGGATTTCTTTGCCCATTTTATCATCTGCCAGTCAAAAATGTAATTCTGAACTATTTTGCCTAAATAAATTCAAAATAAAACATTTAAAACTAAAATCAATCATTTAAAAGCTGCACGTGAATTTAGCCATTACATCTTTATAATGTACAGTATGAAAATTGATATTTTAAGATTTGTTAACAAATACATCTAACAAAGTTATTCAATTGCGGTTTGAAAAGATGAACTTTAAGTGAGCGACAGTTAACGTCAAAAGTAATCTAAATGTTGAAAAAATATGGAAACTGAGCAAGAAAAATAAAAAATCCAATATCAGCCAATGTATATCCAATAACAACCCATAAAAAACTCCAGAATTGGCTGATAAACTATTTATTGTGCACTCCTACAATTTTCTCACCATGAATGATGGCTTTTTTTTTTTACAACACGGCTGCACTCTAACACTGAAAGTACGTAGAGTTGAATATCTAAGGACGGGTTAAGAGAGGGTGGAGGAGGTTATAAAAGAGAATAAAGAAAAATGCTGACCCTCTGCTCCAATGAACAGAAAAGAAATGTTGAACATAGCAGTGAAATACTAATGGCCAATTCATTTGGCATGGGCACCCAGTCGGAAAAGTATGTGAGACAGGTAGGGAGGTGTTGAGCTGATGGTCCTGCTAATGGAATAGCAGACATTTAAGCCTATCGGCTGTTCTTAAGGGCTGAACTCAGCACAAAGAATCACAAGGAGAGATTGACGTGATGTGTGATGGAGGGGTGGGTAGGAGGTACGGGTCACTCTCGGCTTGAATGCAGGTCACATCTAATGGAGTCTTTCTGCTGCCTTATAACTGCTGATGTTTGTTGATGGGAGTCTCTCCTACTTAAACAGCTGTTGGCTTCTTTTTTGCCTTGCTTTAATGTCAGCAATGAGAAGTTATGTTTGCATTGACCGTGAACTAAAGTAAGTGGAGATAAAGCTTTCAGTCTCATTAGGGGCCTTTCAGAAACCGCAAAGTACCTCTGATATAAGAGTTTCTCCATTCTTCAGCCAGCTGTATGAGGGTTTTGGTTTCCCATTGGCTTTGCACTCCCAAAACAGATTCTCCTCAATGGACAATGATGTGTCCATCATCGTCTGCAGCCAATGAGGTGTGGCTATGGAAAGAGAGCATATTAATAAATCAAAAAAATTAATATAGGATCGATGATGGACAGATACAAGGACACACATAAATGAAATGTTACTTGCAAATTAAGACAAGCCATATTACCCAAGGCTGATGAATTCAAAGGCCCTGATGACAGAAACAATTAAAGTAAAAGTTCACCCAATAATGAAAAATCTGTAATCGTTTTCTCACCCTAAGGGTCATTTCAAACCCGTATGACTTTCGTCTGTGCAAAAATAACTGAGATGCTAGGCTCTTCCTGGTTGCTCTTTTTACAGTAAAAGTGAAAAACAAAATATACCCTAATGTCAAACGTTTAGGGTGTGTAATATTTTATAATGTTTTTGAAAGAAGTCTCTTTATTATTTGAAGAAAGATACAATAAAAACAGCAATATTGCAAAATATTATTACAATTGAATATAACTGTGTTCTATTTGATTATATTTTAAAATTATTTATTTCTGTAATGGCAAAGCTGAATTTTCAGCAGCCATTACGCCAGTCTTCAATGTCACATGATCCTTTAGCAATCATTCTAAAATGCTGATTTGGTGCTAAAGTATCATTCATTCTTGTTATTATCATCAGTGTGTTTCAACAATTATGCTGTTTAATATATATTTTTTGGAAACCATGAAACTTTTCTTTCTGGATTCTTTGATGAATGAAAGGTCAAAACATCATATCTGAAATAATTATTTTATAGATTTTTTTTTATGCTCTTCCCCATTTAAAAAAAAATAAAAACTTGCTAAATAAAAGTATTAATTTCTTAAACACAAACACACACACACACACACACACACACACACACACTGAAGATTTTTACATAGTGGTACAAATAATTTATGTACATATAAAACATTTTTTTTTTGAGGCATAGATTAAATAAATCAGATTCACAAGGCAAATGATGGCAAATGATGACAAAAACAGTGTGCATGTGTGTGTGTGTATATATATATATATATATATATATATATATATACAGTATCTCACAGAAGTGAGTACACCCCTCACATTTTTGTAAATATTTTATTATATC